ATTGCAATTTATAGAACTAGTGTGCCATGCATTCAGAGAAGACCCAAAGCAGGAAGGCAGTTCATTTGTAAATGAGCAGAAAAATTCATTGGCACTTATTTTGCTGACAGATAAATCCTTTCGCTTTACTTTAAAGCAAAAATCCAAATCCTGCTTTGGTTTCAAGCTTCTGAGACATCAGACTTTGCTCCTTTGTCTTCATTAACTGAATTGTATATTTGGAGTTTTAACTGTTGGCCTTAACTATTGAGCATAAGGACAATAGTTTGTGGCAATCTGTTGATGTAATTAGCTGTAATCAATAATAAAGAGTTGCACTGGTGATCCAGAGCACAGCTAACTATTGAATATTAATTCCAATCATGTCTTGGGCTGTTTTTCTACTTACATGACTTTACTGACTGGCTGAACTACAGGATGGACTCCAGCCCTGATTCTATATTTGAGGATAGCCTAAGAGTCTATAGCCATGCTAGCCTTTGCTGCATTCAGCATGTTCAGTTCAGCTCCATGTGGGTCAGGAGGTCGTGCCCTTTAGGCAAAGGGTAATCCTGGTTGGGTTAATCCATACAACCTCATCTGCAGGCCTGCATAATAATGGTCAGGCCAGATGGCTGCCCCTCCCTGAGCCTGGTTCTGAAAGTACGTCGTGTTAAACTGGAGATTTTCCTTCCCACTTTCGCCAATTAGGGTGTCATGGGCGTTGACTGATTGTTGTGGTTTTCTCTCCATTATTGTAGGGTCTTTACCTTAGAATATAAAGTGTGTTGAAGCAACTGTTGCTGTGGTTTGGCGCTGTATAAATAGAATTAAATTAAAATCACATACATAGAGTTAAACTGCTGTTAAAATGAGTGGTCCCTGAGCTCGTTGACTCAAATTGCAGGGGAAAACCATTTCTCTCATCTTCTTTGTCGCTATTGTGCTTTATTTAGTTTGGTCACACCATTGGCATTCCCCCTCATTCACTGTACATGGGAATAGCATTACATTAGGGTGTGAGCCTTTATAATGTGCCAGTTTGCGTGTGAAGAGAGGGCTATCATATCAGCTGTGTGAGAGTTTAAGCGGCACGCTTGCAGTAATCTGCTTTTTCACTCCCCAGCTCCTTTATCCAGCCACAGCAGTTTTCCTGTGGGTTATTCTTCCTATCCCTCCACAGGAAAGCCGTCCCCCGCTGCTGCTTCCTATCCTGAGCTTTCCTCCTTGCCCTTGGAGTTGGACAGCCCTTTTCCTTCGACACTATCGTTCCACGTTGATAACTTAAGAAGCTGTCTGTGTGTCTGTTTTATGAGTAGTACATGTGTTTATTGTGGGGGCCTCCTGTCTCTGAATAGTTACCTGTCAGCGATGAAGATTAAGTCCAGAGATGTGATCACTGCAGAAGCTTCACATATGTTTGCTTCCTACAGTCTCGCTTTACCTTCCTGCTATTGCTTTGTCCTGATTTGTATACATAATGGGGTTGTTTATTCGTGTTCTGCTCTTCCAGGAACATGGAGGCCTTCTTCGAATCTTCCCAGAGGGAAAGGCCCAGTTTGCCGACATAGAGCCAAAATTTGACCGTCTGCTTTTGTTCTGGTCGGACAGACGGAACCCTCACGAGGTTCAGCCCGCTTACGCCACAAGGTCAGTGTCTAAGTGTGTCCGCTGCACATGCTCAGGCAGTCTCGTTCTCTTTTACGGGAGGCTCACTGCTCCTGTTCCATCTTCACAGGTATGCCATCACCGTGTGGTATTTTGACGCAGACGAGCGAGCCAGAGCTAAAGAAAAGTACTTAACAGGTAGGATTTAACGTATCAACTGCACCGTCTTTGCTTCTGGGTATCAACCCCTTTGTGATGTCTTACGTCATCTCTTGTGTGTTTGTTTCCCTTGCGTGCAGGTGCGGGGGATAAAGGAGTAAAAGTTGATCTCAACAAATCGTCAGATCCCAGCTAGTGGGATGCACAGTTCCCCTGCAAACAGTCATTAAGTGCTCTGTCCTAAGAATGTGGCCTATAGTGAGCGTGCGAGTGTGTGTTTTAACTGCCATACAGCAGACTTTAGTATGAGTGGGTGGAAGATCTGTGCTTATGGAGAGAGAAAAAAAAGACAAAAATCTGGTGATTTCTGTTCATTTTCAGCCAACCTCTGCGACCCAGCGGAACTTGAATGTCATAACATTGTACTGAAAGGGATAGTATGTTGTTTTTGCTCTATTTTCTTTCACCTCTGGTGAAGGAAGCTAATGTTACAACTGACATTTTCAGCCATTTTCTTTGAACAGGTATTAAGCTCAGAGCAAGTCTTCATCTTTTTCTTTTTTTTTTTGCTGTTTATTTCTTAAAGGTACAGTGTTCTGCAAATTTGTCATGTGTTATGCTTTTCACAATGAATCAGCTGTTATAATAAGCTACTGTATGTGCTTATGTTTGCAGTCATTTCAGAAATGATCTAAAATTCAGATTCCCGACAGAACGTCTTAGTTTAAGTTCTTCTGCAGCGCAGTAGATGCTAATGGAGGATACATGACCTCTCGCTGACTGATCATTTGTATTTTCAGCGTCGGAATGTGAATATGCGCAGAAATGCATATTAAGGCTACCTGAAACATGATTGCTGAGTCAGTTTATTTACGCATACCAACCTTCCACACTGTGCATGAGCAAATATTTTTAAAGCGTGTTTAATTTGTTTTAATCCAGTATGTCTGGACTAAGCAGTATTTGAACTCTCTAAGCAAGGTGCAAGGTCCCCCCCCCCCCCCCCAAAAAAAGACAAAAAAAAGGCATGAACTGTGTTGGTAAAAGCACTTTTCAGATTTGGTTTTATTGCAAATCGTCATCTTCCGATGTTAAACAGTTTTATGCAGTTTTTCCTCACATTATTCAGGCTTAACATGAATTATCGGACTCAACATCAAGTTTGCAAGACACATACTTAGACGGTATCCTTGACAAGGACTCGGTTTTTATGTGCAGTCCGGGTTGCACCATATACAGTGCAAAGATCTGTGCTGCTCCCTGCAGGAAACTTGCTGTACTGCATCTTTTTTTGTTTGTTTGTTTGGAGGTTTTTTGTCTGTAGATGCGTTGCTGATTGAAATGAGCATCTATTTTTGGAAATAAAAATAAAAATTTCTCAGTTTCAACAATTGATATGCTGTCTTTGTGCTCTTTTTGGGTTTTAGTGATTTTACGCAGTTACGTTCTAGAGAAGAGCTTACGTGTCTGTGCTCAGAAGTGCTCTCCTTTTCATCACAGCTCAATGGGAAAATGTGTCAGGCCTGCAGAAGCTGTTATTTGTCACTGAGCATGATCATTATGTAACAGTCGTCATGGGTTCACCTAAACCTATTTGTGTTATGTAGGGTTTGAAGATTTGCCATGAGTAATATGAGTAAAGGTGACATAGCTAAAATTCGTGATATTGGAGTTGCAGTTTAAAAGGACAGAAATTAAAATGCTACATCACATTAAGTACAGATAGATTAGGTTTGAATAGTAGTAACTGGCTTTTTTTCCATTGTGAAACCCACAAGTGCACGCTGCCAAATTTCAGAGGCAGTGAAGCAACCACATACTGTAACATCTGCACCATCATCTTGTCATGGGTGAAATGAGGTTATTCTTCTAGCAAGCTCTGTTTGGTTTTCATCAATGTGGTTATCTCAGCTATCCAGTTTTTTTCTAGTCATCTGCAGATACTGCGCTGAAATCTCATTTACTGCAGAACAATTTGACACAATGTTGAGGTTCTTTTAAATCACCTGCCAGACACAGTTTCTATTCATTTTTCTTTGGAGAAGGCTTCAGATCTTTGAATATGACCCTCCACGCTTCCAATAGCAGAGAGGACAAGTCCTCGTTGTCAGGTGTTCAAAGAAAAGGGATCACTCCCTAAAGAGAGTTTAATCATCAGTACCTAATCTTGTTTTTTTGATTTTCTGTTCCTAAGTGACCACAAACCCTTGCGAGTTCTCCTTTGTTTGAGTGTTTCACCATCATTAATAGAAGCTGGAGAGGAAAGCCGTCTCTTTCTGCTTTCTAGCAAGACTGTTGAAGTTAAGTATCTTTACCGTTAGTTTCTTGTGCTTATCTAGCTCAAGGCACTGACATTTATGTACTGAGAATTACTAGAGATTCCTAAAAAGAAAAGACATACTCCTCATGTGTTAATGTCATAGATGACTCCAGGTGCTACAGAAGTCTCCAAAAGCACATTTTTTGTACAAAAAGATGAGAATCTGTAGCTGCCAAAGCTGTAAGAGATCCACATAGAAACTATTCTGGTGCGATATTAAAACTAAACTTCATTTGTATGGTATTTTTCTTTTTTGTTTTTTTAATATGAACTAAATGAATATCTTCTCTATATAAACAAATCTGTATGGAAAAAAGGAAACTTGTTCATAGATGTTACATAAAACAGAAATACAGTACATATTACAGAGATCAGGATATATATTAAGTAATATTCAATATAAACCTTTACAAGCAGATCAGGCTTTATACAAAGAGTGTGCAAAATCACGTCCCTTTACTGGGTCTGTATACATACTGGCAACAAAAGTCTATTAGTTCTTTAGACAAAATAGAAAATTGGATGTTTGAAGTCTGAAGGGCACTTTGATCCCAGTGTGCCTTGGTCGGTCAGTCAGTGTGCAAAACTTTACAATTTATAATAAAAAAAAAAGCCACAGGTCCGAGGAAGTCATCATGGCCTCCTGTCAGTAGTGGCTGAGCTCCTCTGGAGGAGTGAAGTTGTAACTGTCATCGCCGATGTAGGCGCCGATGCCGCCGCTTTGGCTCCCCCACTCATAACTGTCAGCGGCGAGACTAGAAAGTCAAAAATCAAAACACTTGAAGCATCTCATGAACATTCTTTTCCTGTGCAGCAGTTTCTAGGGAACATGTTGTGGCACGCTTACCTGGCTTGGATGTTTTGAGGCATTACGCTCCACGCTAGGTCATCGTCACTGTCGTAACGCCGCGGGTTGTCAAAGAAATAGGCCCTAGAGGAGAAGACGTGACCAGGAAGCCCAGTGCCGCTCTGTGGTACAAGACAAACAGAAGGCATCAGTGCAAACGCTCAAAGGTAACTGTCCTCCTTATAAACCTGTGATCTCAAGGAGGGTTCCTGACTGGTTTAAGGTAACTGCTGGCTCACCCTGTCCAGTTTAGGCTGTCGAACTCTGAAGAAGAAAACTACAAGAGATGTGGGGAGCAGCTCCCACACGAACAAGATCACTCCGAAGACGATGTAGCCGGTGTCGCCCAGAGTGGACTGTAGGTCTGCCTGACAGAAACAAAATTGCCGCATGCATTTTAGAATAACATGAGAGCAAAAAGGGGACACATGCAAGTCTTACTAAATTCTGACCAGCTACTCTGAACAGTCAAACACAGCTAATTGGCTTTTAAGAGATAAGAGATAAAATATTTAAAAGAGCTGGAAAACAGACTGATTTCTCTAGAACTTGCACTAAAACCCACTTTTTGTTACATATTTGCAGCAGAGCAAAGAAACAAAAAAGTAAGCTTTAGATGGGCCGGTCTGAGCTAGCATAGCTGCTTCCCCTTGTTTCCACACTTCCTACAGTCTCTTTGTGAGGTATCGATTTACTATAGAGAGCAATCATTCCTCTTATCCAGTTTATCCAGTTAGACAGGAAACCAAATGACATTTTCGGACAAAGGCACTCAAACTGTTAACATGAACCATCGTGACCCCCTCCCCCGGTGATTCACCTGGTCTGAAACGTTGTACCAGTCATAGTCAAAGGAGTTAATACTCTTGTTTGAGAGCGCCAACACCACCAGATTGTAGCAGGCCCTGGATGTGTACAGAAGGATGACGATGGCTCCTATAATCGTCACCTGGCACACTGATGTCCCCTTCAGTTTAAAAAAAACAAAACAAAACAGAATGACTCGTGAATTCATATTAGGCTGAAAATAAGACATAAACTGGTGAGACGTCAAGAAATGGCTTAAAGAAAGTGATCTAGATCGTCACTAAAAATATTATGTGCTTCCCCTTTCCACGCCTCACCACTCCACTAAGTTTCATGAAACTGCGCTGCTGGGTCTTTTGCATCAGCGTGCTCAAAACTGGGAAAACAGACCTCCTTCACGCACAGGAGAAATTTCTGTATCTTTAATTAAGGTGTGATTGGGACACAAGAAGCATGTCCACACTGTATCGAACCTTAAGCTTTCGTATGCACCGCAGCACAATTTGTCACGCACAAGAACGACGCCCAGTTGCTAGGGAACTATCTCTACGTGGCAAGTACGAATTATTATTAGAAGTGACTCTTCACACGAGGGTGCACAATACCTTTTGATGCTAGTGACGCACTGGCTGTTAAATCAGTCGTAAGTGGCAGTGTTCAGGAAGTGTTCTATACCGCAACAATCCTGCCTGACTTTGAGTTGCAGGACATCTCACCTTGGACTCCAGGTAAATGTTGGCCAGCGACATCTTGGCGATCTTGTAAAGACACAAGGCCAGCGAGATGGCGCACAGGACGAAGAGCGTGTCGTTGATCGCGACCCTCACCAGCACGATGGTGTGGGCTTCTGCAGAGGACATCCTCACCAGCAGGGCGCACACCAAATTGACAACTAAAAACACCAGGCTGATAAACAGGAAGGTGAGATACAGTGGCAGCCTGGTGGTGAGGAAACAAAAACAGGCAAAGATTTATTAACCCCAAAAATTACTATTAAAAAGAAGAAGACTCTTTATTTTATTTAAGTCCACCAGCTGGTCTTACCTGTACTTCAAAAGCTCCGGTGCATATTTGGACTTTGCCTTAAAAATAACCTGTGAAAAGGAAACAAACAGTTTCATTCAAATGAGCAATGGCCTTGTGTCAGACTGCTTTCACTTCTCTGTTCTTGCTCTCTGAAACGCACAAGACACTCTGATTAAACAGGAACCTCCAGGCTGTAAAACGATTTAGAGCTGAACTTCGGATATGCAATGGTCACACAGCGCAGGGCCTCAGAAGCTTTGAGCCTCGCTTCTCGTTCGCAAATGTGACTCACATCAAGCGCAATAGGATTTACGCTAAAAATAGGCTTCAGGCAGAGGCCAGAGGAGCTATTATTTAGTATCTGGATTATGTAAGCAGTTGAAGGAATGATTCACTGCATCCCACTTTTGCACCTGATGTGAATGGGAGTCTGTTGCACTGAGAGCAACAGGTAATATTCAGTGGACGACTTACTTCCTATATGAATCACTGTTACAGTGGCATGTCAAGCCCGGGCTCATGGCCTGTATCCTGACAATGCCACTCTCTAAAATTCAAAATCCTGAAAAATTAAAAAATAAATAGAGCCATCCATCCAGCCACAGTGGGTGGGTGTATGGCTCTGAGTTCATGTGCATTCAAAGACAAAGACAAATTAAGAAAATTATGACATGAGGTTTATGGCCTATATTACTAGTAAAGCGCTATACAAATACAGGCCATTTACCATATTATCAAAATGCGTTTAAACTGGCCAACTGATTCAATGCAAATGAATTTTATTTATATAGCACCAAATCACAACAACAGTCTCCTCAAGGTGCTTTAGAGTGTAAGGTAAAGTCCCAACAATAGTACTATGAAAACCCCAACAATCAGATGACCTCGTGTGAGCAAGCACCTGGCGACGGTGGGAAGGAAGAACACCCTTTTAACAGGAAGAAACCTCCAAAAGAATCAGGCTCACAGAGGGGCAGTGATCTGCCTAGACTGGCTGGGGGTTATACTTAGAGTGACCAGGTGGTCCACCTTTCTCCCCATCCTCTCATCCGTGACAGTAGAATACACAAAACAATCAGATAAATCAGTATTTTAAAGCAGCTCTCAGCATTTCCACATTATCCCACTCAAATCTACCCTTTGCCCCACATTTAGTTTGTTTGCTAGTTCATTATCACACTGCAAGTTGGATGTTGGACTAACTGGTTTATAAACCAGCTGGGGTGTGACACAATTTGTTTTAGCCCAGACATAGACTTCCCTCATTAATCAAACACTGTGCTGGCACACGAAAAAGAAAAATAACGTGACAACATCTGAGCAACTCACCTGCGCAAAGTACAGGTTCATGAGGCAGAGTGTGAAGAACTGCAGGCAAACGGGGAAGCAATAGAGCAGCCAGAAGGGAAAGGGTCCCAGAGTGTTGGCCGTGACAAAGTTCTTGAAGTAGAAGGAGAAAAGCACGGTGCGCAGCGCCGACCACAGCAGGCACAGAAACAGGAACACGGTCTGGTAGCTGAAGCGCTTGTGTCGGTACCGCAGGACCAGCCAGAGCTGGATGTAGATGAAGATGAAGAGGAGGGAGTAAAAGACGGTGTAGACCACCGTCAGGCCCAAAGTGACGTAGGGTGGCACGGCTGGGCTCAAAGTAGGCAGGGGCTGCGAGTCGTCCGACGCCCAGAGCCCCTTCTCCTTCGCCAGAGCCTCCATGACCTGCTCTCTGTGTCCGGGGTGAGAAGGTGATCACCGCCAGCTCCTGCGGCTTCACAGAGCCAGCTTGTCGGCTCTTGTCTCTCTCTCACGCCCGGCTGAAGAGAGAGATGGAAGCCAGAGGGAAAACAGGAGAAAGGGGGAGGAGAAAACAAGGCTGTCAAGACGAGCGAGGAGGGAAGAAACGCAGCAAGTCCAACTTCCTGCAGCCGAGCCGGAGAGCGAAGCACATGATCAGCGATGAGAATGAGCCGTTTGTCAGGAGAGAGAGCAGGAAGCCGCTCAGAGTTGCAAGCAGGAGCTCCGAGAGAGGACCAGCCTCCTCCAGCGCCCCCATCCGCTCCGTTCTGCGCACTCGTTTACTCGACGCGACGCATCAGCTGACGCACGTCGCCGTACCTTTAACCCCGCGGAGGGGTTTCCCACCGCAGCGCTGATCCTGGGAGAGTTTACATGTGTTTACCTTCAGTTCATCAAGATGAGTGAAATAAAGAGTATAATTAATCACGCAGGGGGAGCTGCCCTCCCGGTTCACACAGTTTAATGACAAAAGTCAGGATTAAGGATCAGTTTTTATTTTTCTTTCATTTTGACTTTTTGAAATGTATTTATTTTTAACTCGGTTTAGTTTCAGTTCCTTTCCAGAGTGGAAAGTAACTAGTTTTTGATGTTTTATCATTTTTTAGTTTCAGTTTAGTTTTTAGTATGTAAAAAATATGTTTACTTTTTTAGGTTTTTATTAGTTTCAGTGTTAGTTGTTTTCTTTATTGAATTCCTGTTAATGTATGGAGAGAATGTGTCAGGGTTAAGATTCAGGAAAATCTGGAAAGGTATTATACTGAAACAATGTAATGAACATGTCCGCCAAAGCCTCATCAGGTAAGTTCTGATAATAAATTTAACCAAATTAACAAATATTAAAACTGAAGCTTTTTACTCGATTTATTTATTTATTTTATTCGCATCTAGTTTTAGTTATTGTAATAACCTCATATTTTGAACGAGAGCGTGTAAATCCCAGATCAACATTACGGTTTAAATTTTTTATGAAGTTTAAAGACTTATTATACGCTAATAATTATTCTTAATGAGATACATTTGCACACAAAAAGGAGGAAAAGGTTATTTTTATTTAGCGTCCGGCACTTGTCCTCTTTACAAGACAGAGCCTCAGACTTTCGAGGTTATCTCATTTCAAATTCCAGTTAATCAGAATGTATTTGTATATTTAATAGATTATTGCAGTCCAAAGGTCCTTACAGATGACTGATAAGCCAATCGTAAAACAGGGCAAAAAATTTAATTTACAAAAAGGACACAAGAATTGAATAAGGTCAATAAAGTAATGATTTTATTTCCTGTGATTGGCTGCAACTTGCAAACAGAAGGTTTGAACCGCCGGTGCTGTGCTCACAGTCAGAGGTGTTTGCCTCTTTCAGGACTTCACTTTAATGCGTCAGGTCACAGGACTTTCTAACATTAGCTTTGCCTCTTATTCACACTGATCTTCAAAAAACTGGATTTAGAAACCTTACTGCCTGTAACTGGAATGAGCTCCAACAAATACAGAAATAAATAAACATGGAGCTACATTTTCTGATGTTACCGGAACATTTTAAAATGATCTATTTATGAATCTGAAATCATTCTTGTGCATACTTTTCCTCAACTATGTATAATGTGTTTTTCTATTTCTATGTACATTCTTTCTTGATCAAAGTGGGACATCCTGTTTAAATAAAGGGTGTAATACTGAACATGATCTAGATCCCAGAGCAGAAAAGTCTGTCTGAGCAGTTGAAACCTGAGGTTTTGACTCTCTGAGAAGACACTGACATCATTATTGTAGACTTTTTCCATGTTTAATATGAATATGCAGCACTGTAACAGTATGTTGATGACACAAAATAAGAAAAAAAGTATGATAGGTTGACTTTATGGTATAAAGACACTGTTTATACAGTTAAATTATCATAAAGAAATGAACAGACAAACTTTTAAATGGTCAACAAATGTTCGAACTAATCCTACAGAGGCGATTGTTTCCTGACTTTTAGTTCCTGTTATGAGTCATGATCCAAAAATACTGAATCCTACAGCTTTGATGAAGCAGATCGGTTCTTCATTTGACCTTTCCTGCCTGGAAAACACCCACATTTTTAGAACTTCACAGATACATTGTGCGATGTAGCTTTTCCATTTTAAAAAGTAAGTCCCATGGCTTTCATGACATCATCAGGATTATTTTCTGCCACATTTTAAACTACATCCTGAGTTTCAGAAGACCTCATATCGTTTTCATACATTGAATAGTCCACCTGGTCACAAATAAAACATTTTTTGTGTTTTAAAATGAAAATGAAATCTAATGTAACATTTCCCTGTAATTCCAACCACAAGTCACATAATTCAGTTTATGACCCAATCGGTTATTTATCCAATGTGCACAGAAATCTAAGGGACGTTTGTTTGTTATGGTAAATATCCTAGCAGCAAGGTTTTGGTTTCACAAGACCAGGGCATGTGAACACAAAGAATGTCAAGGATGGAGGTCACTGTGATCCATTAATCTTTTAGCACACGGGGTCAGTGCCAGCCAGACACCAAACAGGATGCCATCAGCTACAGTACCTCCGCCTTGGCTGTGAAACCACAGGCTGGTACTCTCCAATATCAGAGATATGTGATTTTGTGTTTGGCCTGTGTAAATGCGAACATAAATGCGTATATTTTTACTTCAAAGATGTATAATTCAACAAGAGGCTTAATTACGGCATTAATTAGGCCAGGTCAGTGCAGTTTGTACAGCGTGCTGGGATGAACTGTTCTGCTGTTGGGGAATACCATTCTCCCACTCCACTCTGACATGGAGTGGGAGGTGTGGATGGATGTCTTAGTCCATTCCAAAGTTTAGGTGGGTGGTAAGTGTCAAAGTAACATCCACATGAATGCCAGGACTCAAGGCATTTCCCGGCAGAAGATTGCAGTAAACTGACCAGTCAGTGGTTTCACTGTTGTGGCTGTATAGTGTCAGTCTATACAGATAGCATAAAACCTCTTTGTACATGGTATATATCGGTTTCTTTGCTCACTCAGAATTACTTCAGCCTGCCTGCAGCCCTTCGTATTGCCTGCATCTCTGGTTTCATCTGTAACAGTATTGGAGTGATAATGAAATAGCACTTCAGTCTGATTATCAGGCCACAGCGTCCTGTTATAGACACATCAAACACCAGCCTGCTGGTTCCTAGGCAACTTGGTAAGAGAAAGCAGACTCGCTCAGACAGTAACAAGTCAGAGCTAATGGCATCACCAGCTCTGATGTAAATATCCCAACAAGGGTCCATTGTGTCTCACCATTCAAACGCAGAGAGATCCATTTTATTTGCTACAAACAATGTGCTGTTATGAATAACATTCTCTGCAGCCCATGTATAACAATCTAAATCTGTGTTAAGGAAATACAAGTGCACTCTGTTATTTAAATATGGTGTATGCAAATTAATTTTGAAGCCATGTGAATCTGTGGGGTAGGCATTTAGAAACCACAAATGGAAATCCCACAAAGTGACCACGAGGTGGCGCCTTTTAGCTGTAGAAAAACAGAAAGAC